CTTTCATAAAACGGCAGACCAAGGGATGTTGGCTAGCCGTCTTTCCCTCAAAACCCACATGGCATGCAGCAATAGCAGCCAGGTACACTTTAACCGTAGAGAAAGCTCTGTGTTTATCAATCAAGTCCTGCAGGAATGACAAAATCACACCGACAGGACATTGAAAAGAGACGTGTCCCTCTTGGAGGCACCACTCCTCAAACACTCTCCACTTACAGTCATAAAGAGACCTGGTGGAGGAAGCCCTTGCACTCTGAATAGTGTTTATCACCTTCTGAGGAAGCCCCACTGTACTCAAATGATACCACTCACAGGCCAGGCCCATAGTGCCAGGCGTTCTGGGTGTGGGTGAAAAATCGTCCCCCCTGCCTGAGACAGTATGTCCCTGCATAACGGGAGCTGCCACGGCTGCCCGCACAGCAGCTGATATATCTCCGCCAGCCAATACATTGCAGGCCAGTGCGGAGCTATCAGGATCAGCGTGTGGCAATGCTCTCTCACTGAGAACAGAGTCGGAGGTATTATAGCCAGGGGCAGGAACGCGTACAGAAGGACCGGTAGCCAAATGTGCACGAGCGCGTCCATGCCTAGCGGCGCGTCTAGACCGCACATTGAAAAGAACAGCTGACACTGAGCGTTTTCTTTTGACGCGAACAGATCCACCGCGGCTCGGTCGTAACGCATCCACAACTGACTCACAATTGTTGGATGCAGAGCCCAATCTGCATATAGTGGTGCACCTCTGGACAACAGATCCACTCCGAGGTTCATCACCCCCGGTACGTGCGTTGCTCTCAGAGAAAGGAGACGGCCGCAGCTCCATAGTATCAGTTTGCGTGCCAGCATGTGTAACTGAAGAGAATCGAGTATTAACTGGTGTGCTAATATTCAAATCTATGCGAAGCAAGTGTAGCCGGCAAGCGTCCGGCGACCGAAAGTCTGGTTCAGTCTATGGACGGTTAAGCTAGCCAGGCTACTGATAATTTAGAGATGTGCTCCGAAGCGAGAAGAGGTGTTTGAATGATGCTGCGTCGTATCGCAAGCTACTTAAAGGGTGGGTGGATTCCCTGACGTAGTCGTCAAGATCACCAGCCAATCAGGATTGGCGTAATGAGATTGATGCTTCTGAAGCATACGCGGGGAGGCGCATCCCATAGTGAGACATTGAAACGAATGTTATGAATGAGAACACCACAGCATTTCACATTGGACGGAAAGGGTATTCCTTTAGGGAGAACTCTTCTTGTTTGTGATTGGACAGAGCCAGCCAGAGAAGCACTGCTGTGATTGGTTGTTTTTGCTGCCAGTCAAGAAATGACGCTTCGTGATTGGTCAGCACCCGACAGCGCAACATGTCCCTAAAAATCAGCCTTTAGCTGTTAGCACACACTCAGAGCTCACAGCTCCTCATATCTGTTCAGAAACTGGACAAAAGTAAAAAATGTACAAACCACAGACTGTCTATGTCATGGTGAATACAGTCGCTGCTTTATTTCTGTCTGTATGACGTTGTTGTGAGTGTGGACAGAGCAGCTACAGCTTAGTTTAGCCTGATCGATCGCGTCTTGTTTGAATGACAGGAGTAAACAGCTGACAGCTGCGGTGAAACTCGAGCGATTAGAACGATGCGAATATTCTGTGGTCTACCATAGTATTTACATGGAGATAAACCCCGAATATTCGCATCGCTCTAATCGCTCGAGTTTCACTGCAGCTGTCAGCTGTTTACTCCTGTCATTCAAACAAGACGCGCTGGAGAGGGGGCGAGGCTTATCTGCATGTAAATCCTATGGTAGATACCAACTACAACAACATGTACATATTTTACCGTGATTTCATTGTAATACACGTTTCAAAATGATGTCGAAGTAACAACATACTGATCTCTGAGCTCTGTGTGCTAACAGCTAATGGCTGATGTTTCGGGACATGTTGCGCTGTCGGGTGCTGACCAATCACAAAGCGTAATTTCTTGACTGGCAGCAAAAACAACCAATCACAGCAGTGCTTCTCTGGCTGGCTCTGTCCAATCACAAACAAGAAGAGTTCTCCCTAAAGGAATACCCTTTCCGTATAAATTGAAATGCTGTGGTGTTTTGTGAAATGCTGTAGTGTTTTGTGAAATGCTGTAGTGTTTAGTGAAATGCTGTGGTGTTTTGTGAAATGCTGTAGTGTTTAGTGAAATGCTGTAGTGTTTTGTGAAATGCTGTAGTGTTTAGTGAAATGCTGTAGTGTTTTGTGAAATGCTGTGGTGTTTTGTGAAATGCTGCGGTGTTTAGTGAAATGCTGTAGTGTTTTGTGAAATGCTGTAGTGTTTTGTGAAATGCTGTAGTGTTATGTGAAATGTTGTTTTGACTTGCACTTCAGGGCCACCATAAACTTGTGATTATATATCTCCACAGATAATAAGGTAAATACAGAGTCTTCCCAAAGACAAGTGTGTATACTGTATGTTTCTGGAAAGAGAACATTTGATCATACACCCTTTCATTTTGTGACACTTTCCCATGTGTACAATTAGCTAATGTTTTATCACACATGGTTATTCAGTCAAAAGCAAAAAAAGAAAATCATGAATGGTCTGGGCCACTCTGGAAATGTTTGGTAAGTTGGCACTTTTAACCATTTTCCTCTTCTTATCTCTATGTCCGTCTTTTCTGTTCCTCTTTTTGCTGCCTCATGACCCGCCAAACCTCTGACGTTAAGCCCCTCTCTCTGACTGACAGCAGTGAGCCTATTAATGTGTGTGAAGTGTGAGTGCTTGCTTGTGTGGTTGTGTTTCTGTACTTTGGGGTTAGATTGTGTGTGTATGTGTGTTTTATGTGCTCTGACAGCAGTATTTGAACAGTACTGGACAGCCAGTCTGTTGCTGATAGGAGAGTTACTCCCCTGACAGTTCCTGAAGGACGGTGCTGATAGAACAAGCAGTCTGAGTGACCTTCATTCAACCAAAGACCCAGATGAAAAACAAGTCCTTGGAATTTGGAGAACCAACTGGTCTCTGTGATTCACAAGCATATGTGGACCAATTGCAGAACTGCTTATTAGTCATAGTGCTGATGCCTTGCAGAAACAATTCCCTGGTAAACATTATTCATGTCTAGGGAGACATGAATAACAAAGATGTCTTATGATGTTAATTAATAGCAAAACCACAATGCTGTCACTCAAAACTCTGATGATGCATCAAATCTTAAGCAAATGTGTAGATTTTTGCTCCTTCAAGAAACGCACAATTAAAACCACAAGGTTCATGTCAAATGGCAGATTTTCCAACTAAATTTAAGGACGCAAAGTGCATGCTGCTACTTGATGTGTAATCTGTGGGTTTGGCACTCGGTTTCATTGAGAAATACAATACCACAATAGTAATGCAGACTGCATGCGTCTCTGTGTATCCGTGTTTGTGCTGTATATTTTTTTTGCAACACAAGTCAGTTTAATACCTGTGTCCCCCTGAGCACAGTGCAATTAAAATCCAATCCTCTCCTGGAGTCCATTACATGCTGGGTTTACTGACAGGGAAAGGAGCTCAAATGGCCAAGAGAGAAGGGGCAAGGGGTTTTATTTGGAGAGCAGACAACAAAAAGATGGAAAATATGATCACAGAGGTTGCACTGTCGGCAAATGTGAACATCTTTTCAATGCATCGACAGGCAGCTGCTGTGAAACTTGCTGTCAGTTCAGCATCACAGTTATAGTTAGACAGTCCTTGTAAGAGAATCTGGCTTTACTTTATCAGAAGCAATTAAATATGGATGGTATGATGGGATGACACTAAAACAGGGATATATAAGCATTTATCTTTCATTTCTGAGTACATTGACATAAGAGCAGTAAGGAAATCAAATGCAGAGATAAAGTCTAAAGGCCACATGAGATGGCTTGGATGCAGTCATAGATAAGTTCAAAATAAATGCAGTTTCCTAATCATTTTTGAGACATTCAAAAGTCTCTATTGTATCTATGTGCATAGTGTCCTCCCCTTTCCTATCTGTCTTCAGCTGTAATAGCTAATTAAGGCAAAAAGCCCAATGGGGAATATTCTGCACTTAAAGGTCTGAGTGACCATCAGTAACCCCTGCTTGACAGACCGCATGACTCTGACAAGCCACTGATAACAATGACACATTTTTTCTCTGCAGTGATGTTGTCATCGTTTTTTTCCCTCACTTTAATGTAGTTTTCACTTTTACACCCAAAACCCTAATGTGTTTGCATAGTTAATCGCTGTAACTGACCCTTTGATGAACTTTGCTATTCTACATCAGATCAAAAGGCCATATGTAACGTAACAGCTCCAAAACACAGTAGACGGCTCAAAGTAAAAGGTTTTTTTATGGGGCTCGATAGTGAGCCATGTCACAATAAAACGCAAAAATGTATACTTTGTTCACGAACCACTTGTGGTAATGAAGATCACAGAGCAAGCAGGTTTTTAGTGTACAGTCAAAGGTGCTGGAGAGAACCTCTTAAATGTTGCATGGAAGGCCCAAGAACATTGTTGGTTCAACCACTGTGGTATTTTACAACATTTAGCAAACATTGAAGTGGTCTGACTGCAGTTTAAAACAATGGTGAATTGAAGATGTGTGAATGTCTTGTTTATCAGAAGATCAAATAAAAAATAAACTATTTATTGACTCTGTCTGAAACTAACCATTAGTCATTCTGAATGTAAGTGAAGCTATACATTCACTAGAACCTGTTTTTTTGTTGTTGCTATAATCACTTGCTTACAAAGTGCTTTTGATTAAAAGCTCTATTAGTAAATGCAATAAAATAAACCCTACAACACATCACTTCTCTTACTTACTGTATTCACCTGAACCTGCGCTGGAGCTATTTAGGTGCCACTGACAGCAAGTGCCTCTGAAAGGGTCCGCCCTGACGGAGGAGGCAACGACTCGGAGGAACTTCAGAGAGCTGCTTCACTGCCTCACTATACTGTATGTCACAGGCTGTATAAATATGGGATCTCCCCCCTGTGGATCACACACTTGACCAATTGCGCCCGCGCAAGAATCTGATGGGTCATTTGAATACAGCGATCCTCTCTGGGTAGATGAGGTAGCCTACAGTATAGTAGGTAGTTGAATAGTGAAGAGTCTTTGCGTGAGCGCGTGTGTTTTTGTGTGGATGAGCACTCCTTGAATAGAAAGCCAAAGGAAGAAGAAGAAGAGACAGGCAGGATCGGTTTGCGCCTTGTTGAAATCCAGGGTGAAGCAAATAGGTGTGTAACAGATCGATCAGCTCTTCGCGCACCCTTTGTGGATTTAATGGATCAGCGGATGTGATGCCAATATATATCATCGACCGAAAATTTCCCGACACATCTGGTAAGTCGCTCACGCACCCAGAGCGCGTATTATAACGCTGTGCCATCTGTGTGCGTCTCCCTCTGCGTGCATGTGTGCGCGTGATTGCATTATATTTGCGTGTGCCCGTGTGCCGGCTGGGTGACACGGGGCAGCATGCACCAGTTGATCATCAGAATTCCCGACGTGCAACAGGAGATGAGGACCTGGCATGCATGTAACTTGGTCCTGCTCACTGTGTGCGCTGAATATGGTTTCAGTTGCATGAGGTCCTATCAGAAATGACACTTTAATTAATGTCTTAAACTCCTGAAAATCCTAAACTTACTTTGTGGTTTTGGTTCATTGCATATGGGCTGTAAGTGTACTAGTGGTGTTTTAAGTGCGGTGCTATATTCCTTACTATGCCTCAAAAAGTTGTTTTCCAATTGTGTAATAGTTAATAGATTAATACTGCTATCAGAAAAACCAGTTGGAACTTTATTTCAGCAAAATCAAAGCACCTTTTGGCTTCCTGTGTGCAACCAGTGCCGAAACAGAGAAGGTGTTATTTTAAGTTAAAGTAGGCCACATTCCTGTACTTATTCAACCTCAAATTAGGTACATGACATGTTCATAGCTTTCACAAATGTAGGTTGTCTTGGTTTACTTGTGTGTGTGCAGACGCGCAGGGCGTGTCAGTGAATGATGGGTTTCATTTTGAAGAGGTTAGTAAGGTCTCACTAGGGACTGTTTATGTTTCAGATAAATCATGACAGACACGATAAAGAGCTTTCAAACCATTCAGGAAAAAAACAGCCACATTGCGTAAAGTAAAGTCAGTGACTGCTTCCTGCAACAAGAGCAGTAACTCCAGCAGCAGAAATGGCAGCTCACCTTAAAAATAACTCACACACATACAGTATTAGGCGTTTCTCCCTAACAGAGCAAACATCCTTAAAGGCATCATTGCCATGCACATACTACACTAAGACACTCCTTTATCCATCCAGAAGCAATTTTGAGAGGGAATGATAACGACCTGACTTCAAACAGGTGCCATTCCTATATCCTACCAAGGCATATAAAGACACACAGCAGCTATCATTATGGGTGAGTGATACATAAGTGCAGGTACGTGCTCCTTAAGATTCATACCTAACGTGCCTCGGCTCACTCAAACATGATTCAGGACCTCTCAGTGTCCCTCTCTGTTTTTACGCCCCCCTCCCTTTCACTCGCTCATTTTTGTACATTCCTTCACTCCGGCTTTATGTCCCTATTTCCAAGACATTTGACAGGCATTTTCATTTATTGGCATGCCACCTGTCAGGATTAGAGCAAATTAATATGCAACTTCTCCAATGCTGACACGCATGCATGGTTTTATTAGAGCTGTGGGACGGCTGTCACTGTGATGTGTTTGCTCGGACAACAAAGAAAAGAAGAACAAAAAGTTGACACAAAGTTCCTGCCCCCTCCCTCAGCCAGTCAGAGGCAGGTTGACAGGAAGTTCTAATTAACACTTCAACTAGTGTCCTTCTACTGTCTCCTCTACTGTTTTCAGCCTTCAATCACTCATGTTCTGCCCATATTGTCAGTTGTCCTTATCCCTGTTGTTGAATCGCATGCTTCAAACCCAAACACTTCAAAAAGAAAAATATCTATTACATGCACGGCCACCATGTCCTAAAGTAAATCTTTTGACCCAGAGTGAAGTCCTGCATGCTGTCGGGTTAGTGTGGAGTTGGGAAAGCAGCCTGTTGGGAGCTGTGGTTGGTGTAATACAGCATTACCAGCCCGGATAATGACTGGGGGAGTGTTCTTTACTTTGGGCTATTGTTTGGTCATGAAACAGAATGATAGGGGATTTGGAGGTTCAGCAGAACTCTTGTTATTATATTCATATAGTCGGTGTGTCTGTGGCTTTCTTCTTGCTCAAAGGAAGCTAAGAGACTTTGTCCTTTATTCAGGTGTTGCTCTCATCTCAGCACGCCCAAAGAGAGACCCTCCCATCTGCACAGATGCCTCATGACACCAGCTTGTAAAAGTGTGTGTGAGAGCATGGCTGTGGATGTGTGTGTGTGTGAAGTGACTGTGTGAGTGTGTGTCCATGCGTGTGCGCCTTCGGTGAGGGATTAAGGATTAATTGCCTTCAGAGATAGACTTAACTGGTCGTTACACGAGCTTTGTAAAGTTCTCACTTGGCCCCAGAGAGGAAAACAACAGTGAGTAGCAGAGGAAAGGTCTCTCTTGGTTTCTACTCTTCAGAAGTGTGTTTCTTCTTTTTTTATTTTTTTTATTATTTTTTTTATCGAGCAAACTGCCACCAGAGGGTAAGAACTTCCATTGTTCTCACCTTTCTCTTCGAGACTGGTTAAAAATAAAATATTATGGTTTGTCTTTTTTTCTCTTAAGTTTTCTTATGACTGTCAGGGGTGTTTTATCTTTCTCTCAATCATTGTATTGTTTTTCTTTAGCTTGCGCTTAATAATTCTGAAGACATTCTGTTTGCATTAACACTGTTGACATATCTTTATATTTTGATTGAAAGTAGTAAGTTGCCAAAGTAATAACATCTTCAATCTTGATCATTTGCAACCAGCAAACATTTGGAATGTTTGCTTGATGATGGCTTCAATGATGAATTGATTTTGGGAATTGGATTTTTAAATGGTGCTGATACAATTGAAAATACAAGTCTTAGATTCTTTAGTTCATTTTTAGTTCACATTTGAAAAATATATATTCTTTTCCAAATATAATGCATGTGACTCTCCTTGTTTTCTTCTGTTTACGGCTGCAACTAATGCTTATTTTCATTATCAATAAATCTATCCCTTTATATTTCGACCAGTTCATTAATCATTAAATAAAATGGCAAAATTGTAAAAACATTTCGCAAAGCCCAAGATGACATCTTAAAATTGCTTGTTTTGTCCTACTGTACCTACAAAAATACCAACAGGAAACTACTCAGTTTACAAGGACAAACACAGAGAAGCAGCACATTCTCTAATTAAGGAAGCTGCACCAGCAAATGTTTGCCATGTTTCATTGATAAATGGCATTACATTTGTTGACTCATTTATTTTGCTTTGTGTTTCTCCCCCTCTCCTCAGGTGAGTTGATACAGCCGGCAGCTGAAGGAGGAGACCTGAGAATGACAGAGACAAACCCCCCCAAGCTGGCTAAGAAGCCTCGCTGGACCTCCCTTGAGGTCGGCCTCATTACTATTGTCTCCTTGCTCTTCATCGTCATCGTCGCCCTCATTATCCTTTTTGCAACACAGAAGACTGGTGAGTGCTGAATAAGGACAGAGTAAAGAGTGAGAGTGAAATATACTTATATGAAAACATAAGTGGGGATAACAGACTCAGGTTGATAAGATGTTTAGCTTATAGGACATTCTTTGTTTTAATAGTTTTTTTCACCTCAATATTGAGTGAATTTTTCAGGACTTTAGAAGCTGTGCACATGCACTGACTGTCACTTCCAGCTGGAGTTGAATGTTAAGCATGAAGGAGCATGATTTAAGAGCAGTACTTTGTTCAGGTGAATAGAAGACGCTCGAGTTGTGTGCTTTTAAAGCAAAGTGCAAAAGTACAACCACTGGGCCAGAAAGATGAATGCAGCGTGCAAAGGTCCTTTTTAGAGTTTCCTTTGTGATCTAATGACTTTTTACACAACAATATGCACCTTCAAAGCATTGTTATATGTTACAGTTCAGACTTTTGTGTTGATTAAGAATGGTGTAACCGATATATTGCCGTAAATCAATTCCCAGTATGAAAAATGTATCATTTATAATGGACAAAGGGAAATCGAACAGAAAACCCCCACACAACTTTATTTATTTATTATCAAACCTGCTCCATTCAGATCAAGCCTACAATATGAGTACCCCATGTTTTTTAATCATTAATATATTGACTTGGATATCAAATGTATTTAACTACTACTGACCCAAAGTCACTCTTCCATAACATTAGGATTTGTTATTCACTAATAAGTCCAAGGACTACGGATCACTGTGACATGATACAAAACACAATCTCCTATAACAATAGCAAAACAGCTTATTTAACAATCTACAGATTAATTATTGACAAAGTAACCAATTGGTGGTTCAGCAGGTCAAGAGAGGAAAAACATGTCATGAAAGCCATCTAATGAATTACAACAATACGTGCAAAACTGGTTAAGTTGGCATGTGTGTGTGTGTGTGTGTGTGTGTGTGTGTGTGTGTGTGTGTGTGTGTGTGTGTGTGTGTGTGTGTGTGCGTGTGTGTGTGTGTTTGTTTTGCTATTATTATCTTCTGCAATCTCGTGTTTGAGAAAGGTTTACACTTCTCTGTCAGGAGAATTCGAGAGTTTAATGACTCTATCTATGTATGTACCTGTGTGTGAACATGTGTTCACATGATTGTCATTGCTTATAGCAAACGAAGCAGTGTTAATATATAAAGACATGACAGCTCAGTGTGTGTCAGTATATGTCAGCCTGAATATGATTAACAGTTTAGCATTTACATTGTCCTGACAGAATGGAAGCAACACTTCTAAGTTGGATATATGGTTTGTATATAAAGTAATACATTTAAAGGGAAAGCAAAGTGTTATAATATAATATATTTACTGATGACTTCAAAAATGCCACATAATAATTGTTTCTTTTTCATTTCTCTGTAGAAGAAATCTGCACCACAGCTGACTGCACGCAGTCAGGTAAGCACTGTGTGTTTTGTGTGTTTTCTTTGGTCTGATTCTGAAGGCCTTCATTTTTCTCTGAGGGGAAATCAAATGTTGAACATTTAGTGAGTGATGTAGAAGGTATTCAAAAAAGTGATCAAACAATCAGAAACAGTTCTTATCGACAGAAACATGTTCCAAAGGGTTATTGGTTTTGGATTATCTCTGAACAACTATACAAGATAAGTGGAGAAACTGAACTATCTAATCAAATGCATTATTATGTTTGTGTTCAACGTGTGTCCAAAATGTCCAAATCTGAACACTTTATTTTCTCAATTTAGTAAAAGTTGTTGATATGAGAAAAAAATGTCGTATAGTAAAAAAAAAAAAAAGTATAACTCTTTCTCTAGTTTCCAGCAACAGATGGCCATTTCTAACAATGCGTTTTTGGGGAACTAAACTCCCCATTCAGTCAGATTTGACAGACTTCACAAGAGATCTCTCAGCTGCCTCATGTTATCTAATTGCAGCTGAAAAAAGTTCACACAAGTTCAGAACTGGTGCCAAAGTATCCCATGTGTGCCATTATACTGTTTTATTTTTGCAAATGTGTATTCACAGTTCGATTTTTTAAAGGGGCTTTTAGGTGCATTATGTTATTCCTTACCTTCTTAAAATTGAGGTGGTCTATAACCTGACGTGCTTGCTAAATTCATACTAATTTTAAGACACAAACATGAATTTAACTCTCATATTCGTCCATTCACTGAAAGATTTCATCCAGCAGAAGGTTAGCTTAGCACGAAGATTGCAAACAGGTATAATCAGCTATCGCATAGCTGTTTCTGTAGCAAACAAAATCCACAGCTATAAAGCTGACATGTGGCAGGCTTTAGCGATCTCCTGGAGTCCTTGCTGGTTGAATGGCAACACCAAAGTGATAGTTAAAAAAATATTCCAGCATATGCTTTCCTGTAATCACACAGAAACTTTACACTACATTTGAATAAATCATATTTTGTTACACTTCAGAGCCTGTTGGCTGCTTCTTCTTACTGCGTTGTTTATGCTAAGCTAAGGTAACAAGTGAATGGCTTGTGTGTGAGTATGTGAGTGGTATTGATCTTCTCATTTAACTCTTAGGAATAAAGTAGATAATCATATTTATCAATCAATAAATGCACCTGGCCTTCTTCCTACGGCTATAGTTTTCAATAGAATTGATAAGAAGATCATTCAAGTGCATAATGTCATACTACCAAGGACTTTGATATAAATTGTGTTTAATTCACACTGTACTAATAACCTGCAGTATAATATAGTTTCTGTCAGGTTTGGGGAAAATAGGACCCAAGTGCAGTTAAATACACAGAAGGGTAATCACAGGACAAGACACAGCTGGCAGGGGAGGCAGAAACACAAGGGCAACAGGTGAACACAATCAGACAATCAGACACACCAGGGAAACTAACGACAGGAAGGCAAACACAGGGAGTAGGATCAGACAAGACATAAGGAGGAAAACATTTCAAAACAAAGGTGGAAAATGAAAATATAAATCCAAAACCATGACAGTTTCTGTCAGAAAGTATTTTCTCCAGTTCCTCATATTTTTTCACTCTGTCCATGCAGCGTCTCGCCTAATTGAGAACATGGATGCTAACGTGAACCCTTGTGACAACTTCTATGAGTATGCCTGTGGAGGCTGGCTGAAAAAGAACATCATCCCTGAGACCAGCTCTAGATACAGTACCTTTGACATCCTACGAGACGAACTGGAGGTCATTCTCAAAGGTCAGACACCTACACACACCCACACAAACAAACAAAGACCAACATTCAGGGAGACAAACATATGGACACCTAGTGTGTCTGTTTTCAGTAGAGTAATGGTACTTTCTTTACTCCATGATTAAGACTTGTTAAGCAAACTAGAAGGGTAAGTCATTTTCAATCCACTTGCTTCATAAGAGGACTGAGAACAGCTTGATTCAGTTGTTTGAGAATGCGAGCTAAAGAGGACTGTACTTTAGGGACTGCAGCTCTATAGATATCACAGATGCCATGGGAGTTTGACTTCAGTCACACTTTGTGAGGGGAGATATGTTTTTAGAGATGTATAATTGAATGTCTAACAAGCAGGGCATATTATCATAGATTTGTAGGAAAAGCATTTAGGAAAGACTATGCATGTTAACTTTCTGTTAGTTTTACATTGCTAACAACCTTCCACTCTCTTCTCCTCTTCTCCATGGCTTAACACCCATAAACATCACACACAGGGGGGGAAAAGGAAAACAAACATTGCTCAACAAGGGCTCATTTTTGACATTTTCTTACTGTATGTGAATTTACGTACATGGCATGTATTTGTGTAAGTGTGTGGTGTCATTTCACACTTTGTTACATTTTTGACTGCCTCTGAACATATTCAGCGGAGTTCCCACTGTGATATTTGCTGCCTGTCTGAAAGCAGACAGAGGAAAAATACGCTTTTGCAACTAATGATGAGGTACTGGCAGAAGTGCAAAGGTTGAGGTTTCAGAATCGCTGACTTGAACTGCTCTAAATGCTGCATTTACAGTAGAAAGCAATGGAGCAGCCAAGAACTGGTCTTAATCATTCAACAGCTTAAATCCCCACTAACCGTCAGTGCTGTGCTCATTCCTTCATGGTGTCTGGCTTACCAGTCGGAGATGGAATGTCTTCGTCTTTACTTTCTGCACATATTTTCAGGTTTACTCTGTCTGTATGGGTCTGTGTGTTTGAAAGAAATAAAAAGAGCACTGTGTATTTAAGATCATACTAGATATTCTCAAAGAATGTGTGCATCCTGTTTTCTTGAACACTTGCAGTGGAAATGAAAACCTCCTAGCTGTCAGAATTTATATTTTTCTTAGTGACTTATGCCTCGGCAGTCATAGGCCTTAGCAGAGTTGTGACCTCTACTGTGGAGGTGACATCAAACATGCGACCTCTGATCCCAGGACCGGCTGCTGTGTCCTGCTTGGACACCACCACCACCTGCTGATGGACGAATCCTTTTTCCTGTCAACAGCTGCAGGGGCACGAAAACACCTGGACACTGCAGCGCTCTAGGCTGCATGACAGCAATAAAACAGGCTCTGCGAGTGTGTATGTGTGTGAAAAGCTGTGTCGATTTGTGGCTGCTTGTAAATACCTTGGATTGTTGGCTGCTGCTATAAAAGGCCATAAATGATTCATAATGAGGATCTGCACTGTGATTGTGGCCACAGCTCAGTGTGTATGTGTGTGAGTGCGCCTGTCTGAGTTAGTTTTTTCACCTCCCCCTAGTCAGGTGAGGCATACTGTGCAATAATATGCCTAATTGACCGTGAGTGTTTTAATTACAAATAAGCTTGTGTCAGGAAGAGGAAGGGGAAAGGGACAACAGACAGAAGAGGGTGACATAAATCATTTTCATCCAAACTAACAAAAATGACAGAATAGATCTGGTGGAATTACAATGAATGGCATGGGATGTTAGAAGAAAAGTCAGATGAGATACACATGAGCTACAGGGATTAGGGTAACATAGAGTAGAACATTGTAGCCAGAGGATGATGCTATATTGAGAAAAGCTTTGAGGATTGGTCAGGAAATGTGAAACAGTATGTGGTAGTCATCTCCAAGCTAAGCTCTATGATGCATGCATCCATCTGGGCTGGAGCATGTACGCGAGTGCACTGCTACATTTCTGTATCACACAACTTGCATGACTCCAGGTCTAAATCGTTCAGAGAAGATATGACTTGAAGCCTACCACACAGAAACCAGCTTATGTTTGTTATGAAATTTGACATCAAGTATCAAAGCATGTCTGTGAGGTACTGTAGCTGTGATTTAGTGTTCAGATGTCAGTTGTTCATCAAGCATGCTGCTAACAGCCAGAGACTGGATGTCTCTGTTTTTCATGTGATAATGATAACCGAGACATAAGTTATGTCAAACAATATGGACTGCAATAAGACGTGTGAGATAAACGGTGCGTTCATATGACCTTAAAATTCCAGTCAGGACCATTGCACAACACCATTAATTCTGTACTTCTCATAAACATATCAAATAAAGATAGCAGCCCAGATGTCAGTGGCCAAGTAAAGCAATATGAATACTAATGCAGTTATTCTTGGCCAACTAAAATATTGTGACAAAAAAAATCCTGAATTGAATATGTTTTTGCCAGCGAGGATATGAATAACGGGAAAGAGTTTAGACCTCCACTAAGGTAAAAAATCTGCACTGAGCTGTTTCTCAGCCAATTCTGTGCTGGGTATGTGACATAACTTTATTTATCAAGTAAGCCAAGGGGCATTACTTTTACTGACAACATGTTACTGAGGGGAGAAATCAGGATTTCACCAAAATCAAAGGTATCAATATGATGGAACATAAACACTACTTTTGCTAGAACTGGATAACTGTTTTAAGCAACCACTTTAATGATTTGATATATTTAAATATTCACACCATAGTTTCAAAGTTAGATGAATACAGTAAATGCAATGACAGATGTTTGTATCTAAATGAACCTTGGAAAGTCTAACTACCTTCTTTCCTACATTTTAATATAGACAGGTCATGCTTTTGATCAAATACCTAGATTTTAACTTACTATACTCACGGAGCCGTTGAAAATCTAGATAATTTCTCTCATTGCGCAACTCCTAAACAACACGAATACCAACAAAACCTTGTGTTGCAAACACAACCTATAATTCCATAAACCTTTATTCCAAGTACTTCAACAAACTATTGCATTTCTAAGAACTTCACTAAAGCACTTCTGTGCTGTTGTACTGGTTTGAATGACTTCTTAAACTTGATCTATGTTATTATATGTGTGTTTCCTTACAATTGCCGCTGCGACAATTTAAAGCAATGAGTGTAAAATAAGTATTTTATCTTAAAATAGCACACACAGAACAAACACGTTTTTTGGTACTGATTGAGACTCACTCTCATAAAGTGTCAGCTCATTTTATTTTGAACTTCGTTCACAGCTTCTGTGAGTATGGTAATAATACCCTGAATAAATGTTTCATAATGATAAACTGCAAGCTGACTTCTCCCTCAAAACACTGCAATGGGAATGCCAGTTGGAACTACAGCCAGTCAAGGATAAAATAGCAATGCAAAGAGAAGAAACAAAATTCGAATTCTGTATCATGCCGAGTGGTTCGGCTGAAATTGACGTGATGTTTCAAACAAACATCAGGTGGCAGAAAATCCATTCTCAAATAAATCCAAACGTGCACAAATATGGGGTGTGAGAGAGAGAGAGAGAGAGAGAGAGAGTGTGTGTGACAGAGAGAGGGTAAGCCTTTGCTGTGGTTCAACATTAGCACCAGGTAGTCAGTAATCCAATCATAAACACATAATCTGTGCCCTTTTTGCAGGAAGCACCCCATGAAGGGTCTCTATCTCAGGATTCATTAAGATTAAATGAGCACATAAATAGTGCACACACGATAATGAGAAAACAGGAGGACAAATGAAAGGGTAGAAAGAGGCTGAAAGGCAGCCTTGTAAAGAGTTAAACGAGCAGAAATACAGAAAATAATCGTCTCAGATCATTGACCAAATAAAAATAATTAAAATAGATTAGTGTGAATTAAATGTATTATACTGGGGCTGCCGAGTTAAATGAGACTGGACTTTCCATAAATCATGCAATAACAGAGCAGGTTTTTAAGACAAGATGAACTGCTGTGACATTCAATGTAATTGAAGATTAAAGAAAGGGATAAACCTTGTTTAAAATATGCTTTATTTAACTTTCTTTATGATTGGCCCTGTCAGTAAATCCTGAACATTACAAAGAAAGACAATCGTCCTTATCTTTTGATCCTTACTCACTCACAGTGACATGAGGGATGGACTCAAGGGAGATGGGCAGTCAGTTGACTTTGTATTTTCAAGATCCATCCTCTTTCCTTTATTGATCTTTGCATTGCATTTAGATGTGCAGTATGAACAGTATGATGGTATTTGATCCCTATGCAACATTTACAAGAGATTGCTTTATAAGTGACAGGCTGAAGCCATGAGTTGTGTGATGGTGTATTCATCAATCCAATGAGCATATTTCCTAAAACTAAGCCTAACTATCATTCCAAGCTGGATTACCTTAATATATAAAATGTAGTTTCAATGATGTGAACTGTGGCATTGTTTATTTTAGCTCATTGTATTGCGAAAGTGGCAGGATTAGTTTCAGCAGTTGGGTTGGACATAAGATTTACCTTAATCCTCCACTTTATATTTGTATTCTGTGAGGAATAAGGGATCTAAGGTAATTGATAGACTGATGACTAATACTGTACACTCATTGTACTGGAGCAACCATGGTTTACACAGCTTCACTCAGAGGGTTTCAACAACTAAAGGCTTTGTGATTGACTTGATTTGATGCTTAGCTATGAGATATCTATGATTTGTCTATTGTTCGAAAAAGTATTAATCTGAGGGATGGACTAATACTTAAATGACACTGCACACATCAGACAAATGTTTAGCAATGTTAGAGCTCTCAATCATCAACCCTCAAAATCGATTATATTAAATAAACAATTACATTACATTACATTGCATTTAGCTGACGCTTTTATCCAAAGCGACTTACAATAAGTGCATTCGACCAAGAATATACAAACTTGAAGAAAACAGAATCATATAAGTACATCAGGTTTCATAGTCAAAACATTTCAAGTGCTACTCAACTGGCTTTAGATAAGCCAGTCCTTTATTAGTATACAAGTGCTTTGTTAGCAATTCTTTGTTAGTAATTATATTGCTCGAAATGGACTCGAAAGAGATTAGTTTTTAGTCTGCGCCTGAAGATGTGTAAGCTTTCTGCTGTCGTGATGTCAATTGGGAGCTCATTCCACCATTTTGGAGCCAGGATAGCAAACTGACATGTTTTTGCTGATGGGAACTTGGGTCCCCCTCGCAGTGCGGGTGCAGCGAGCCGTTTGGCTGATGCAGAGCGGAGTGCACGTGCTGGGGTGTACAGTTTAACCATGTATTGGATGTAGGAAGGGCCAGATCCATTCACAGCATGGTACGCTAGTACCATTGTCTTGAAGTGGATTCTAGCAGTTACTGGAAGCCAGTGAAGGGAGCGGAGGAGCGGCGTGGTGTGGGAGAATTTAGGAAGGTTGAAGACCAGACGAGCCGCTGCATTCTGGATGAGCTGCAGAGGTCGGATGGCACATGCAGGTAGACCAGCCAGGAGGGAGTTGCAGTAGTCAAGGCGTGAGATGATGAGAGCCTGGACCAGAAGTTGCGTCGCTTTCTGGGTCAGGAGGGGACGTATCCTTCTGATGTTGTAAAGAGTGTATCTGCAGCAGCGGGTTGTGGCAGCGATGTTTGCAGTGAAGGACAGGTTGTTATCTAGGGTCACACCCAGATTCCTTGCAGTCTGAGTCGGGGAAACAACAGAGGGGCCGATGTTGATTGTTAGGTCAAGAGTGGGACAATCTTTTCCAGGAAGAAAAAGCAGTTCAGTCTTGTCAAGGTTGAGCTTGAGGTGGTGAGCAGACATCCACTGAGAGATGTCAGCTAGACAAGCAGAGATGCGTGCGACGACCTGGGTTTCTGAACGGGGAAAAGACTAAATTAATTGAGTGTCGTCAGCGTAGCAATGGTATGAAAAACCATGCGGGCTAATGACTGATCCGAGCGAGTTTGTGTACAGAGAGAAGAGGAGGGGACCAAGGACAGAGCCCTGAGGGACCCCTGTAGTTAATTGACAAGGGTCTGACTCGGACCCTCTCCAAGTTACCCTGTAGGTGCGGTCTTTGAGGTAGGAGGTGAGGAGGGAAAGTGCAGAGCCTGAAACTCCAAGTTCTTAGAGTGCGAAGGAGGATCTGATGGTTCACCGTGTTGAATGCAGCAGACAAGTCCAAAAGGATGATGACAGAACAATAATAATGAACTCAGGACACACCTTGCACACACAATAAAATGCAATAATATGTGATACAAATGTAAATGAAAATAGATTTAAATTGCATATTTACATTTAAAATTCATAAAGGCTACTGCCTGCTTTAATAACATTTCAACAGCCCATTTAGCCTCTAAATTACCATAAACAACATCCATAGCAATCACAAAGTCTACAATTTACATACATTTTGCATTTAAAGGAAGTTAATCACATGCACTTAGATTTAAGAGACATACAAGGTCCCTTATTCATGATGCTGCCCCCCATAAACCAAATAGACACATCATAAATCCAACATACTCTGCACAATATTGCAAATACTTTTCCAAATGAACAGCTGCATACAGTTTATTTTCACATGGAGAAAAATGTTGAACCTTTAATGTACCTATACTGATCCTTAAGCTAAAATGGACCTATAATGTATGTACTGTAACCAAGCAGCACTGTGTCATGGAGTTATGAGCAGGTGTTAAGGATTACAAGGGATCACACCAAGACGCTTCTATTTCCCTCCGTACTTAAACAACTGTGTGCTTTAAATCATAAATAATAATAGCTAGAACTAACGCTTGTTGAAGCGACTCAGTCAGGAATTGAGCTCCTAATCCCTGACATGGCAATCCTTTTCTAAAATTGTCTTTAAAAAGATTCCCATGCTTCCCGTGAGCCCCCACAAACTAGAAGGAACTGCAGAATGTTGTTTAATGATTTGGTACCCAAAGAAAAGTCATAATCATATCTTTGAAGTAAGTAGAACTAAAGTTGAGCAAAGGTTTAAGATACCAGTTGAGTAGGCTGCTGTCTGCTGAAAAAAAAAAGCAGCGCATCCTGAAGGAATGGTTACACTAAAGCTAAAATATGCAACTGTAGGCCTTGAGGCAGCACAGAAGAAGTATATTGGTTGTGCCATTCTCCTCCCCCTCACTGGAGCAAGTTTACAATACATTCCAACACTTATCACTCATTTTGATTTGCTGTCTACCTAGAAACACTATGTAGCCTCAGGCTGAGCTAACTGGAGTCCATATGCCAACAACAGGTGTTGAAGAGGCAATGAATGCAGACAATAAAAAAGTAATGGTGTACACTTCTCTTTTGAAATGAACTTTTACTGTTACATCTTCAGCTTAGTTGCTTCTTAACTTCTTTTCATATTTTAGTGTATGATTTCCCTTCTTTCAAGTCACTAGGCTTGCTTTAAGACTGCAATGATTAGAATTCAATTTATAGCAAGCAGAGATTAAAATATGCATTGCATTTTTCAATTGTGATCTATATGACAACGTTGACCTCTACAACAAATGACCCAAATAATCTTAACCACTCAAACGTAAAGATTAATTACACTGCAATAAATTGTTTTTGTTTAATCATTTGTCAGTCATTTGAAGCAAAGATTGGCCATGCACAGTACAAGGGAAATGTTATGATCCATGGTGTACTAGTCATTGATATGCGTTCCTAGTTCCTGGTCCCTGGTCTTGGAAATTAATGAATACAACGTTCCATTGCATTAAAGCGTGAGATTAAACTGTTTTATTGTCATATGCACACAAAAATGTATAATGTCCTATGTTTAAGGAAACTTAACATAGGAATGCACTGTTCCTCTGTATTTACGCTCATAACAATATTATTTTCAAATATTGATTAGTTTTCTCATTACATAAATCATAACATATTTAATTTGCTTTTCAGGTACTGTACATTATGTATAAAAACTTAAAATAGAAATATGTTCAACTGTACTTTAATGTTTCGTCAGTTTTGTGGCATTTCAAAGCATGAAAGCTTTGAAGTTGATTTTCTTTAAACTAATAAATTAATTGTTTTCTTTCTTTCACCGTGAAACATTTCTTATCCCTTTTTTTGTCCCTGGTTGTGATGTACTGCCACAATTGGAAGTCATCACTTTATTTTTGTTGACACTTTCCGACACAGGGACAGACAATATGCCTTAATTAAAATGATTTAATGCATCTGGACGAAAGCTAGATTATATTTTGAATCTAAAAACATGAAAAAACACTACATCACTTCTTTCCCTCCTGTCACATGTACGCTCATTCCTCCTTCATCATTCTGTCTTTGTCTTTATTGTTTTCTTTCATGCTTGCTCTGTTTTTCTGCTCTATTTGTAGGTGTCCTTGAAAAAACTGTGGAGGGGGAAGCCGCTGCTCTCACCAAAGCTAAGACCCTTTACAAGTCCTGTACCAATGAGAGTGAGTGAGCAGGCAACGGACAATTCATTTTAAAATCTTTTAATTCCATTTTTCTTACAGTCATCAAAGGTCATGTGTCTCATTAAGTCTATTACATTTTCAAACTATAAATAAAAACTGTGATAATAATTATAATTGATTAGTTTAAAGAATCAAGAAAATTGAATTTTAAATATAAAAAAAGTATAACCATTCTCATAATGATATATTTGCTTGTTTCTATCTACGCTTCATTTAAGGTTTAATTGAGCTGAGAGGAGGGGCTCCTTTGCTCGACATGCTGTCTGATGTGTTTGATTGGCCCATGGCTGTGGATAACTGGGAGACCAACTATGGTAGAGTATTATTTTCCACTGTCATAGAACAGATGTCATACACCAGCAATTATTTTCATTTTCACTGTTCCTTCTTTCTACTTTACTCAGGTAAAACGTGGAGGTTGGAGAATGTAATCGCCAAGCTGAATGAGAAATATGGAACACAACTCTTGGTTAACTTTTTTGTTGGCACCGATGACAGGGATTCAAACTCTCACATCATTCATGTAGGTGTGCAACTGTTGGCAGAAAGCCCAGGTCTCTCTTTGTTGCATAAAATCACATCTATACAGACACTCACACATCATAATATGCATGTAGCTAGAAAATAACTATCCACCAATTCTTTCAAATCGTATTTCTTGGCTTATATAAATAAGGATGTATATGATCTTGTCTTCCTCTCCACCAGTTTGACCAGCAGACAAACCTTGGACTCTTGTCCAGAGATTACTATGCTTGCACTGGACTCTACGCAGAGGTAGGCTTGAGGTGGACCCACACACTTGGGAATTATTGAATGGTTTTATTCAATACAGGATGAATTCCAAGTTTTTACAATTAAACTGCTGAATTTTAACACCCATATTTTTATAAAAGAGAAGCAGTTCTAAAATCTGTGAAAAAAATAAATAGGCTATTGAAAAATAAATGAATAATCTTCTATGAAAATACATTTGGAAATAACTTCCTTTAAAAGTCAAAACTGAATACAAATATCATGAATGTGTGTGTTTAACAGGCATGTCGGGCCTACGAGCAGTTCATGTTTGACCTGGCTAAGCTAATTCGCACTGACCGGAAACTGGTCATCAATGAGACCAGCATCAGGCAGCAGGTGGCACGAGTCATGGACCTGGAGAAGGACATCGCCAATGTAAGCACTCCACCTCCATCTGCTTCAGAAAATATCCCATTTTGTTCTTTGAGAAACTGAGGACACGTTAACACACAATGCACACCTTATCGTCTGTCTCAGCTAGGTATATAATGTGAGCAAACAATTTGTTGCCCAAACTGCTCTCCTCTGTGTGTGTTTTGGGGTTTAGTCTGGAGCAGCTGCTGTGTAAAACAAGCTGTTAACCAGCCTGATCCCTACACAACAACTTTTCTCTGACATCAACAGGTTTCCACAGTCCATGTTTGTCATTCTGCGCTGGTTCTGTGCTCTGCTCACTGCCACGCTTCACTTCCCCTCCACACGGCTGATGGCTTTTACAAGGCAGTCACACTGTTCAAGCTCTGACATTTACAGACCTGAAGCCTCACGGGACACCACATATGTTTGTTGCTGCTGGACCTGCCAGGGAATTGCTCAGATGTGTCAGAAAACAGGAGAGTTTTGTTCTGACAGCATTCTTGATTTTCTGCCTATCTGTCTTATCCATTCCAAGGCTACTGATACTCCAGAGGACCGTAACAACCCTGTGTTGCTTTACAACAAGATGGAACTGGGTGATCTGAACACCAACTTTACCCTTGAGGTTGAATCCCAGGTAAAAATAGACTGCTTTTATGTCAGAATTGACTGTTTCTGTTTCACCTTCCTTCCTCTTTTTAATGCCACTTTTTGTCCTGTTTCTCTGTGCTTTTGGACTTGAAGGTATTTGACTGGAGTTACTTCACAGCGAAGATAATGGATACAGTCAATATCAGTGTTCCTGACACAGAGAAGGTCATCAACTACTCTCCCAACTATTACAGAAGACTCAGCGTTATCTTGGCCAAATACAACAAGAGGTGTGTGTATGTTTTTGTTTGAGACTGAAGTGTTTGTGGGTGCCTTTCGGTGCTGCAATGAAAACAGCTGCTCACCCAGTACTGACATCGTGTAGCTTTGTGTGATTATAATTCCTCTGAACATCATTCCTCTGCTCACAGGGATCTGCAGAACTACATGGTGTGGCGTTTTGCTATGAATATGGTGGTGGGCCTGAGCAGATCTTACAGGGACACCAGGAAAGCCTTCCGCAAGGTAAACCTCAAAGACCTTGGCACAACTGATACTACATTTTAGAGGTGGATAGCAATCAGTTGGGCACTAAATAGCATCAGTAAACAGGCCCTGGGACTTCACCCCTGTCAGTGGCTATAACCACATTATTTATCTATATATTCAACTATGCCAACAGTTTTGTGCAATAAATCAACCCTGCACTCCTACAGCTTACTCGTAAATGCTACATCATATATTATTACTCATATCCTTTTTTAAGTGCTCTGAAATATGACCACACTCAAGCATAGATCCAGTGCTTTTATATTGTCAGTATTTAAACTTGTGTTACATGTTGTAGTAAACATGTTTTTTATAAAAAGAAATGTATTTGTGTATATTATATACTTTTTTTTATTTCCATTTCTTATGATATCTCTAAGTCTATGGTCTATATATTCATTCTTATACTAGATTCTAGGATGGGACCAACTGTGACATAGCCACCTTTCTCCCTGGGATCAATATAGTATTCCTGGATCTGATCATTCTGAATCTGAAAAACAAAATGTACTTGCTAAATGCTAATTGTTATCGTTAGAACTTTATAACTCGACAATAAAACATTTCTGATGTTTGGCAGGTATGTATAGTACCATTTTAATGTAACATATTAGGCATGGGAACATTTGCTAAATAGCATCAAAACAAAAGGACAGCTAATGCTGATGGGAACATAATTAGGTTGGCATTTGTTTTGTCATAAACAAAAGCATTTGGCAATGTTATTCCACTGCTGGTGGAACCCTAGGTTATTAAAATGAATACTTGTACAAGACATTTCACTCATAAGAAAAAATGCGAAGCTCACTTTGGGTCTAGATAAAAGGTCAAAGCAGCAGCAAAGTTAGTAGGATTTATCTTCTGGGGACCATGCATGTGTGAATATAACTTTATAGAAATCCATCCGGTACTCAAGATTTTTAACTTGATCAAAAGTCTATCAATGTGGCCGACCCTAAAGCCATGCTGCTGGAATAACCTTGTTGGAGCTTTGGTGAAACACTACTAAATTATTCTATACTGCAGATTCTTAGCATCAGCTTACCTATATGCAGATACTCAGATATAAGTTGTGCTTAATAGGCTCAAATAAACAGTTCTTGTCAACACTGCTCATTTTTTCTTTGTAAACAAATCAATTCCCTTCTGTCCTTTTTCTTATAGGCCTAAGTGCAAAAGTGATGCATAATGGAGGTGCAAATAAAGAATCACCATGAGCCTCTTTAAACAACATGCTGAGTGGTTCATTCTGCACCTCTAATTGATCGGTGCCGTGTTACTTTTCCTTCAGGCTCTGTCTGGTACAACGTCAGAGGCAGCAGTGTGGCGACAGTGTGCACTTTACGTCAACAACAACATGGACAATGCTGTGGGAAGACTGTATGTGCAGGAGGCCTTCTCTGAAAAGAGCAAAGAACTGGTCAGTGAAGGGTTGATTATATACTGGAGGGTTTGAACATGCATCCAGACAGTTTGACAGCATTTATGTTTCAGACTCCTCCTAAGTGTGTTTTCGTGTTTTAATCTTTCATCACATGTGCGTCTTCTGTCCCCACCACTGTAATGTATTATGTGCTTGCACCCATTCAAAGCAGCTGAACAAGGTGTCCTGGTTATCATGCCCCCACCAACACCACCGTGAATTTCAACTCTGTGCGCACATGTGTGTATGCGTGTCAGATTGCGTAACCATGTACATCAGTTGCAATGCTGAGTGCCTCACACTCCTTAAATCTTGGTCCTCTCCTGGAACTTTACCCACTCTTGGATTTCACGTTGCACCCTGAGCAAATGTGTTTGTGTGTGTGTGAAAAGTGACACACAATTCCAAGTAGGTATCAACACCCCTTTCTCCGAATTCACGACCATGCATATAATATGTGTAAGTGTGCTGAGAGTTGCCCTGCAGCTGGCACACATGCTGCACTCCTCACATACCAACCTTCTCGCAGCCACAGAGATGTATTTCAGATATATGATCATCAGTGTAATGAAGTACTTTTCCACACATACTTAACACTGATACCTATGACTCAGAAGAAAACATTGTACAATTTAATCTTTGACAATTTTTTTTCTTTTTTGCCTTTATTAAGTTATGTGAAAATCTTTTACAGCATGATTTTTACTAAAAGATACAACTATTATGACAGACAAAAAAACTACGTACACAGTTAAACAAATATTATTCTGATCCATAAAATAACGCAACAATAATATACAACAACTTCTTTCTGCATAATGAGAAATTTGATTCTTAGATTATTTTATGATTATGCTGTTCTCTTCAGCGACTTGACTCTATGCAAAACCTCATTATTTTGAGAGCGAGTGAATAGATCAAGTTGAAGAGCGGTGAATTGGTGCCCATAAATGGAAATCATTGCACTTTAAATGATTAATATGATACAGAAAGTTTAAATAGGCTTTCCATTTAATAGAAACCCAGCATGTAACACGTGTTAATACAGTATATCTTAAAATTGCACATGCAAACAGACATCTAAATATGATTCTAATGCATTGACACAAGACAAACTCATGTGCACACACACACACACACACGTTTCAAGGCTTCCAAATAGCTTCATCAGTATGGTCCCTGGAGTTTAGTTATTGGTAAACCACAGCATGCTGTCCGAGTGGTCATGGAGTGTATTAGTGAGGGATCGGCTGATGTGATGAGACGCTGGAATGCCTCTGTCAGCGCTCTGCGGTCTCAGAGCACAACTGTGGTTATAGAGATCTGCGAGCATGACCTTAGCTGTCACTGCAGTTTTTAAGTTTCCCCCCTTTACTGTTTAGATTTCATTCTTACTGCGTTTTGTTTTGTTTGTGTGTGGCCTATAACTATCCGATGACCACGGTACAGTACATGATTTGCACAGAATTATGTATGGTGGCGTCAGTCAGTCTGTCTCTATGAACAGTATTTAGGCGCATACTTGTAAATACTGTAACTCAAGAGTAATACTGTATGGAGACCAACTTGCACCACAGGTTCCCACTGAAAATGGAGATTTGGATGTTGATTTTGGAGCATCTTACTGTGAGAACGGTCATATAAAAACATCTGATTATTCTGAGACCTCCATCTTGAGACCTCTACAATGCCAATATTATATGTGTATACAATTGGTTAGTATTAGTTTTCTCACATGGTAATATTCGTTCTGTGTCACACATTATTTGCTTAACCCTTAGATGCACGAGTGACTGGACCTTACACTCTTCCATAAGTGGGTCAAAAAGGACCCGTATTAGAATAATGTGTTTTTATGCCATTTTTGTCATTTTGGTTAAGAAAAATCACTTGTATAATATTTAGTATTATATTTTGGTTCACACTAGAAATATTTTATATTACATTTTTCACTATTTATAATTTTAGACATTTTTTTACATTTTGAAAAAAAAGGTTTTCCCATAGGATTCCATAGAAAATGCATGCGGGTCATTTTTGACCCACTTATGGAAGCTTGGGGTAGTAATACAAAAACTACAATTTCTTAAAATGTAAATACAAAATTTGAATGGCATGATATCCAAAACATGTTTTTTGAGGAATAGCTGGAATATGAAATTATACAAAAAATGTAATTACAAAGATACTTCAAGAAAACCACCTTACCGGGTCAAAATGGACCCACTTATGCATCTAAGGGTTAATAAGAAAATAACTAATTTGTGTTAGATATTGTAAATATTAAGATCAATAACCTCTTCTTTAATTTGGAGTTAAAAAGCTCTTGATTTTTTTCAATCAAAAAGTCAATCCCAAACTACTAGATGCTTCTTTAAGTACATTTTAATATTAAAAGTTGTAAAGTGCTGAAAGGAAGTGGGAAGCATGCATTTGAGATACACTGTAGAACCTTTTAAGACGACAAGTAGTACAATTAAGTTGTAAACATGTACAATAGTTTATACGTTTGTCAAATATCTGTGACGTGTGTGTGTGTGTGTGTGTGTGTGTGTGTGTGTGTGTGCGATCAGATGGAGGAGATGATTAAAGACATTCGGGAAGTGTTCATTAGTAACCTCTATGACCTGACATGGATGGATGCGGAGACCAAGAAAGCAGCTGAGGAAAAGGTATTAACTGCTGGTTTCAAGTCTATATTTACCAATACAAATGTGAATAGCTCCACCAGAAGTCATACAGTACAGTCATAATGAGCAGAGAAAACACAATGCTGATTCTGGGACCCACAGAATGTTTTATTAACACACACACAGACATACAACCAAGAGAGAGGAGATAGAGATAGAGAGAGAGAGAGGAGAGAGAGAGAGAAAGAGAAGAGAGAGAGAAGAGAGAGAAGGAGAGAGAGAGGAGAGATTGAGAGGAGTAGAGGGAGAGAGGGAGAGGAGGAGAGAGAGAGAGAGGGAGAGAGGGAGAGGGAGAGAGAGGGAGAGAGAGAGAGAGAGAGAGAGGGAGAGAGAGAGAGAGAGAGAGGGAGAGGGAGAGAGAGAGAGAGAGAAGAGAGAGATGGGAGCGGGATGGAGAGGAGAGAGATGAGTAGAGTGAGAGAGAGAAGTAGAAGGAGAGTAGATATTGATATAGATATGATATGATATATATGAGTTAGAATATATTAGAGACTATATTATAGATATTATATTTATATATATATGTAGAGATATATAATTTATATTATATATAGTATTATATATAATATAGTATATAATATATTATAGATATATATATATATATATATTCAAATGAAGACAAAACAAAAATACATAAATAGACTGCACATGAGGTCATTTCATTTTGACAATAATGGCTTTGCAGGCAGGGGAAGACGCACATAACATTACTTTTTTAGAAGGATAAATTCCCTTCTGCTTGCTAAAAATGATTTAAGAAATGATTCAGTGTTTAATATGCTGATAACATGTGGCCCAAAGTTGCAGGGGTTTGTGACTAAGACTTAGTTTTCCCATTTCTTTCTCATCTACTTTTCTATAGGCCCGTGCTATTCGGGAACGGATTGGCTATTCTGACAACATCAGGGATGACGGATATCTTAACAATGAATACAAAGATGTAAGTGTCTGAAGAGTTGCCAATTTTAATGTTTTTTCTTTCTTTCTCGGAATAAGTGTAACCGAATACATTCATATCAGTGCTACGAAAACATCTCTGTAAATTCCTGCTTTTTCTGAGATTTTCTGGAGAATATGACTAAGTGTTGATAGCTCTCATCATGGCTAATCCTCCGGTTTCTTTGGCTGTGTGTTGGTGTTAGCTGAGCTACGGTGCAGAGGAGTACTTTGAAAACATCCTGCAGAACCTGGAGTATGTGCAGAAGAAACGCCTGCGGAAACTCAGAGTCAAAGTCAACAAAGAGGAGTAAGAGTTAACTGATGTAATTCTTGGGGCCTGATTAGAACATTGCTCTGCTAACAGGATTATTTCAATTGCATGGTAATTGAAAGTGACTAGTAATAAAAGATGTATTTGTGTGAGGTAAGACACACCATCTTGCATTTAGCACAGTGCATTCACATTCTCCCACACAAACTCCTACTCATACATACAGTTCAGCCTTTCACTGAGCACAACAGGAATGCTAATATTAGCTCTCTGTTAGGTTAATTTTAATACCTTTCATCAACTCTGAATCTTGCTGCACTACCGGGCTCATCTCTTTAATTTCACCCTCCTTTCCTTCTGCAGGTGGGTAACTGGAGCTGCCGTTGTCAACGCCTTCTACTCATCCAGCAAAAACCAAATAGGTATATGCACATGCAAACTTTCATCTGTGTAATCATTTTGTTAAGTATTCTAGGAAAAAACATTATTTTGCTTTTCTCTTTTGTTAGTTTTCCCTGCAGGAATCCTCCAGCCACCTTTCTTCAGCAAAGGCCAGGCTAAATCTCTCAACTATGGTGGCATCGGCATGGTGATTGGTCACGAGATCACTCATGGCTTTGATGACAATGGTATGAGTTTCCACACTGTTGCTCTCTATTTCCCCCAAAGGCAGTTTTGGCAGACAATACCATTCTGAGAGAAATATCTCCCCTTTTGTAACTGGTACCAATTCAGAAATGTAATTTCTTTGTGCGACAGATCATTTTTCTTTGAGTTCATATCCATTGGGTAATCTGAAGTTATGAGGTTCAGTGTCAGTATTGTTTGATACTGATACCCCCAACTGCAACCAACCCACACATAAGCAAATTAAAATGAAAATGTTTTTGGCATTACTTGCACCACTTCAGTGCTATCTCAGCTAACGAGAACATTTAAGTTTGGGCATAAAGAAGTGTTGCTGTTATTTGTGTCATATTTTTCTAATCCAGAAAGTCAACCATTCATGCATTTTGCTTATTTTTAAGGCCGTAATTATGATAAGGATGGTGACCTGAAGGACTGGTGGACACCTGACTCCACTCAGAAGTTCCTAGACCTGTCGAAGTGCATTGTCAATCAGTATGGCAACTTCTCCTGGGACCTGGCCAATGGACTTCATGTATGTCCTGGTAGACTCTATCTCTTGCTTGGCTTTCTCCTCAAGTTTTTATATCAGTAAAACTTTTTAAGTATTATCCCAAACCTCAATCTTTGTCTTATTTATTTGCTTTCCTGATACCTTTGTCAGATTATCCATTTTCATCTTTTCCCCAGTTTTGCAAGCTATAGTCCTCTCTCCTCCAGGTGCCTTTTTAATATGTAGTGTTGACATATCCACCCCCTTCCCTTTGTCCGCTTGCTTTGCACAATGCTTCTTTTATCCCCTGGGACAAAGATGTCTTGTATTATCAAAAAAGTGATAGCTGTGAATTGCTGAAATACATCGGAAAAATCAATATCACCCTCTGTCCTTCTCCCTTCCATCCTTTTGTTTTCTGTCCTTATGACCCATTTCTAGTTAAATGGTAACAACACCCTCGGGGAGAACATCGCTGACAATGGAGGGATACGGCAGGCATATCAGGTAATGAGCTTGAAAACAAATGAAGAAACTCAGTTTAATGGCCCTAGTTTAAAGATGATCGAGGATGGGATTCAGTATGCAGCTTTGTATGTTGTCTGCTTGCCAACATTAATAGATGTGTCATTCTGCCAAGTCACTGACAGGCTCATTAGCTAATGTAAATACAACAATGAAGGATATGATATTGCTGCTGATTTTCTCAGTTTTACTAGAGGTGAACGGAGAAAGGATATTCACAGATTTGATTTCAAGAGATAATTATGTATTCTTAATTTAGGTCAACTGCAATGTCATGTTGTTTCGTTTATAATTGCATGAACTCTATCCATTGCATTGCTCCTTTGAGCCAAAGTATAGATTTTATGTTATTGATTAGTAAACCGGTCTCAAACAGACAACATGCCTGTATAATTATTGATGTTTCTTGCTCTGCAGGATATCTGACATGTGTTTATGGTTAAATGAATTAGCCCAGCATGTGAAACTACTGTGTAATTATACCTTTTGATGAGGATAATAACAACCAAATCTGTCATCATTTACAATTGAAACAACAGGATGAAAAGCTTTTTCAAAACAGTTGTACTATTCTTTCGACTAACAGTTGGTAAAATAAGATAAGAACATTTGTTTCAATACTGCAGGCCTATAAGAACTACGTGAAGGAGCATGGAGAGGAGCCATCACTGCCTGGCATTAGCCTTTCCCACGATCAACTCTTCTTCTTAAACTTTGCTCAGGTAATCCTGATTATTGATTGATGGATCTTTGGATGATTGAGTACATTAAATACATGATAAACAGATGGATTGATGGATGTATGAGGGATCGATATATGGTTGGATTGATTGGCTTATGGATATGATGAATTGATGGTATCAGTTATTGATGGATGATGAAATGTATAATTGAGGTGATGGATGAATGGATAGATACATAAATTGATAAGAAATGATAATGGTCAAATACATTGCATCCTAATCTCTGTCTTTTCAGGTGTGGTGTGGAACGCACCGACCGGAACAAGCTGTTAATTCTATTAAAGTAAATGTACACAGTCCAGGGAAATTCAGGTAAAGTAAAACAAAATGTTTTCCTTTACATCAATCCGCCATGTATGATGGAGGGGATTACATAAATGACAATGGTAACAGTTGATAAAACCTTGATAAATATTCATGCTGTGTGAATTATAATGTCAAGTAACCTTCTAATACAGCATCTTTTACCCTCTGTATGTGTTACAGGGTACTGGGCTCTCTTCAGAATTTCCCCGAATTTGCCAAAGCATTCAAATGCAACAAGAACAGCTACATGGTCCCGGACAACATCTGCCGTGTGTGGTGATCCCTTAACCTCTAGGATGGGGACTGTTCTGACGTGGGTAGATCCTGTCCCGCTGCAGTACCTCTCCCTCTGACTGTGGGACTTGTGTGGGGCTACAGGGAAGTGAAAGCTCCCCTTAGCTCTTTACTGGATGGACCAGGGCTGGTGGACTGACACTGCAGTATGCACTTCCTCTGAGGAAAGCAGTGGACTGTACCTTCACGGACAGACGGAGCACTGTCTCTCTGACTCTGATACTGTAGTTCATTCAATCAGCCTGATTATTCTGCTACTCACTGGATACAATCACTCATTGTGTTTTTTGTTTGTTTTTTCTCTCTGGATTTTCATCTTCTTTTACTCATTGTTTTGAGTCTGCCAAAGTGTGTGGGTGTGTGGGGGTGTGTGTGTGTGTGTGTGTATTTGTGTGTGTGTTTCAGTCAAAATACTGTACTTGTGTGTGTGTTTCAGTCAAAATACTGTACAAGTAGTTGTAAAGAGAGGGGTAGGCTGACAAAAGTGCTCATATCCACTAGCATATGAATACATCAGCCACCCACTCGCACATACACATGTAACAGGGCTGAACCTCTGTGCTCCTTGTGGGACTGAGCTGTATGCCTCTCTTGAAACCTCAGCTGGTTTCAGCCTTCATCTACACGCTGATACAGTATACAATGTATTTGTAATGTACTCTTTGTTTATAAGAACAACTAGATTAGGTAAATTATTAAATCAGAGTTTATTTTGCTGAATAGACCAATACCTATGTCATTGTAATCACATATTACACAACACTGTTCTATATTTGAGGATAATGACTTAACTGTGGTTGACAGATGGCTGCTGTTCATTAGCAGTATGTCAAATAAACCAAAATTAAATGTTTGCCTTTAAGATGACAGCTGTTCATGAATCATTAGGCAGACAAATTACAGTCAGCAGACCCTTTTATACACTCACTGATCCTCCTGTGTGTTTCTGCGTGGATTACTGTCTCTTTGAGGTTTTTTAAGTCATTATGATTACTGCCTACTGTTTGTCACGCAAATTGGTATGTCTGACGTGTTCTGTTTTGCTGCTGTGTTTCAGCGTGTGTATGTGTATTTGCAGAAAAACTAAAGATTAGAACATTTTCCATAAAGAAATGTGTTTGACCTTACCACAAATACACTTTTCTTGCTGATTGCAAAGTCACTTACTATTGTCGTGTGACTTTGCTACAGACAGGAGCTGATTAGCTTAGCGGGGCATAACAACCGCAAACTGCCTGCCTGACCAGCAATATCATTTAAGCTCATTATTAACCATGTTAGTATTATCAGTACAAGTAGCAAGTGTGGAAAGCAATAGGTTGTGGTTTTGTATGGCAGTATGTACCAGACTGTTTCTTGGTTGGAGGTAGCATTTCCTTGAGTTTAAGCCAGCTGCCTGGAAACCTAATGGTGATGACAAGATTACACGACTTGAATTCTTTCTCCTTTGTTATTGATTGAAAAAAAAAATGCAATTTTAATTGGTTAAATTGTGCTCGTAGGCATATTCTTTGTTTGGACTGGACTCAGACTAGCTGCTAAGCTTACCACTACCTGACTGTAGCTTTACATATAGCAAACTGATGAGTGGTATCAATATTCTCAACTAACTTTTGGTAAAAAAGAGGAGTAGTTTATTTGACAAAATATGAAACTATTTAAAAAACGTGTAGCAACTTTTAGAGCTGATCATGGTTAATCACATTATGTGCCCCACATGTTCCATCTTTATATAATTATATTTTTAAACATTGAGGAGTCAATTTAAAGATGATGATATAACACAGCTTTCAAAGGAATGATCTAATTCAAACAGCGGGCCAAGTCTTTGCTGAAACCTAATGAGCTCTTCAACAGTCGATGCATTTTTTTGAAGAAGGTTGTATCATTGGATTGAATAGTATTCATGATTGCGTAAGGCTTTATTTTCTACATTGAAGTGTAACCAAGGCTCTATCTAGCACAAGGTTTAATTGACCCCTTTTATAGACGTGAATGATGTGCCATGATCATGGGCCATTTGTATAGAAACTGTAACAGTCCTTGTCCAGCCTTTATACGTGTTGGTTTCCTTTGTTTCGTCCTTTTCATTGATTGTGCAAGCTCTCTGTGTCTCTCAGTCCCTAATGCTTTCTTTCTGCCTCTATATCTCCCTCTCTATCACACTCCACATGTAGAAATACAGATATACCTCAGTTGCCTGTATTTAGATACTTTATAATAATGAATGATAATCACCTTGGGGAGCATTTTTTTTCTTTCAGAATAAATCTATAAATTACTTGCTAAGCCTGCAGGTGAACGTTTGTTTATGTGTGTATGTATTGTTTTACCATCTGAATCAGGCTTCTATGTGGAAGCAAGCTCTTAAATCTTATATAAAGAACTTTTTACATTACATCTTAACTGTTAAGCCCTGAGCCTGTTTTTCAGGTCTCAGGCTCGAAAATGACATTCCCAGAACAAATGACCATATCTTCCCTTCTAAAAGAGTTAAATTAATAATCTTTTTTCTCAAAGTAATGATAAACCTGTGAGTTGGATGTAGAAAAGTCAAAATCAATATAGATGTTTTTTATTTTAAAGAAAATTCAGATTTTACATAGTAAAAAACTGTAAATTATAGTGTCTGTCCAAAAATTATTTTTTACTTATAGTGAAAACCACCCTTGGATGATGGGTTAGTAGACTAAAAGCTTTAGGAATCCAAAGTACAACATAATAAGTACCCTGTATCAAGATTGATGCAAAACAAGTGACATTTGACCTTTTTAGAGAGATTTAGCAAAAAGAAACCACTTCTGGGGTCATTTGGGTGGATTTTCCATATCTCTGGCCCCCCTTGCTCGATTTTGATGGTTGACACCTCTTTCTGACCGTTAGAGCCAATAGAATCGAAGGGGGAGTCCCCCACACACACGTTGTGAAGAGAAAAGGTGAAGGCTTCGCGCATGTAATTTTCCATCAGAGTGAACCTATCTCTAGCTTTGACATCTGGAAACGGAAAAGCAGTGTTAATGCTTATGGATTATCAGAAATCATTTCAAAGGGACACAGACACATTAGATTAACCTATGGATTAACTTCAGCAGCGTTTTTATCGTTTTAATGCCATTGAAGACCTCTTTGGAGAGACTACAGAGCCAAGGTAAAAATGTTAGCATTTTTAGCTACCTAGCGTCACCTGTTTTGATGTCCGTTTTTGCTTATAACGTCGCAAATACGTATAATTCAGTGGTAATGTCAGTGTCAATCGATTCTGTGTCACCTCACGATGTGAAACGATGTGTTGGATGTGGTGAAAAGATAAATAATAAGGTTTTGTGAGTGATTTTCGGTGCAGTAAGGTGTTAGCATTTTTCGCTCGTTGCTAATTCAGAGGCTCAGTATTAGCATTGTGGGTTTTCTTTTGAAAAATAAATAAAAATGATCAGTTAGATGAGTTTCTTCCCGTTACATGGATATAAAACATTCATAGTTTTATTAAATGAACATGCCCTCAGACACTGTTTCCTGCAAGATGTTGCGGCAGTGCCCCGGTACCGGGGTCTCTCGGGCTTAACAGGTGTTGTGTTGTTAAGGGAGACTCAAAATGAGAAACCTTTTTTAAGACTTAAATTATGCATAGCACAACTACGGAGCCCTGGAGGGTTCATAGAGAGAAGAAATAAATAAAACGAGGCCACGTTTTATTAATTTGTGCGCACGAGATGTAATTCGTGGCCTCAATTTAAATAAAACGAGGCCACGTTTTATTAATTTGTGCGCAGGAGATGTAATTCGTGCGTACGAGATGTCATTCATGGCCTTAATTTAAATAAATCGAGGCTACACTTTATTAATTAGAGCGCACAATATACTTTTTCGTGCGCACGAGATACTTTTTTGTGCGCATGAGATACTTTCTCGTTCGCACGAAAAAGTTACCGGTGCGCCAAGTAGGAAGTGGAGCGCACAGGAGACAACCGTTTCATTGCAGACTGTTATGTTTATGTGGGGAAATGGCAGTGCATACATTATTTGAGATATATTTCAAACTCGGACTTCATTTTAGGGACATTTCGGCCAGAAGTGTAGAGCTATTTTTTTAAGCACCGGATTCGCAAAACAGGAGAGTCTGTGAACCAGTCTGCCTTGATCTATGAATAGTGTGGCGAAGTCTCTCCCCTTCCGGTGGACCTCCATGGGACCTTATTTCGGAAAAATTATGTATTGAAGTCAATGGAGAGAGAAAGATTATCTTTCGATCCCGTTTGAATTGTGCCACGAATTACACATATGATGTTTGTCAATTTAAAAGATAATTTTGCAAGTCAAAAAAATATATATATGTCGTAAAACTGTGAAGTAACACATTTGTTTGTGTGAAACGCTCAATGAACTACATCTCCGGTCTCGCACAATAACACACGTCACCAAGATGGCCATCACTGCTGTCTTGTCAAAAAAAGGATTGACTACCCTCACTATGAATGTCGTGCAAAGCTGCCTGCCTTCCTTTGATTCTCTCTGAACTGCCTGGTCTTTTTAATGTTTAATGTCAACCATTTGTGCAGATAGCATGAAGTGCAAAAGATCGCCGATGCTAATGTAGCGTTAGCGTTAGCCTTTCTCCCCTGGGCTTAAATTGTGTATTATAGAATGATCACACCGGTGTGACAGTACTCTTCAAAGGGTTCACGAAATATGACTACTACTCTTACTGTTTAACATTTTGGGTTACTTAATGTTACTTTATGTTAAGGCTAATAAAAATGACAAGGCTGTAATGCTAACTAACATGCTAGCTACAGTACTAGCTATGTAGCTAACTTGATCAAGCCACACCTGGTCCTTTCATCAGACGGGAAGCGAAAGAACGAGCAAGACCCATTGCTGGTATGATAACAACCTGGTACTAAGCACACAGGCATCTTGTTAAAGTTATCTTATCTTAGCCAGCGCCATATAGATAGATTCTATCTATATGGCGCTGATCTTAGCTATCTCTTAGTGGATGAAAACAATTGTGACATCACTTACCTAAGACTACAAAATCTGGGATTTGTAGTCTTTCTAGTTGCGTATTTTTCATAGTCTTATATTTCAACAGTTTTACGACAAACTGTGACTTTTTTGACATGGAAATGATTTTTTAAGATTGACAAACATCATATGTGTAATTCATGGCACAATTCAAACGGGATCGAAAGATACGTTTTCTCTCCCCATTGACTTCAATGCATAATTTTTCCGAAATAAGGTCCCATGGACCGGAAGTAGATGGGCGTGACTTCGCCACTCTATTCATGTCCGTGACTCTCACAGTATCTGCTATCAGAGAGCTGTGTCTTTTACGCAGCGCCTTCACTGTGTTTACCTTCATTAGAACAGCTGAATAGAGATCGAGGCTGCTACGTTTTAGCCACACACACACACGCACACACACATGCACACGCGCACACACACATGCACACGCACACGCTCACACACACACACACACACACACACACACACACACACACACACACACACTTCTACACACATCGAACTGCCCGATTATTCCCCCTATTACTCGTTTTATCAATGTCCGGTCACCAGGGCGCATGATGTGTAAATAAACCAATTTGTGTTCTGTGAAACTGAAAAGGATATGACATTGTTTTTGTTACTTTCGTTGCAGTTGTATATGTCTTAAATGTAATTTAGATTAACTTCCTGGTTTATTTAGATGCTTTTATTTTGAAGGAGATTTTACGCTGTTGACAGGAAGTTGTTGTTGCTATGGAAAAGTGAAATGCTACATGATGTGTGTGTGTGTTTGTGCTCTGCTCAGCTCAGCTCTGTGTGGGTGTGTGTGTTCGGTGTATGTGTGTGTCCGACACCGACATTTGTTTTCAAATTACCATGAACAGTAATTTACACACATGTGTATTCAGGGCCGTCCCTCCCTACAGGAAGATCACGCAGACTGCGCGGGGCCTCACCTCGCGGAGGGGGCCTCATCTTGCGGAGGGGGCCTCATCTTGCGGAGGGAGCCTCAACTGTGCCGCAAATGCGGCGCACATATGCGTTTCTGCGGCGCAATTAGTGTGGCGCGGCACGATTTTGCCACTGCGAGGCTCCAGTAGCACCCCGTCGATACTCGCGAAACAGAGGGACTCATCATTTAACTTTGCGTGGGGCCTCAAATTGGCCAGGGACGGCCCTGTGTGTATTCCCAAGTGAAAGAAGTTTGTTTAATCTTAATCTCGATGTAGGCTAGTGCTAAATGCTGTCGGAGTGCTCCGGAACAAACACCACTATCATAATATCTTCTGAAAACAAATGCACACACACACACACCAGAGTTCCCGTTAGCCGGTAATTACCGGACAATGACCGGTAAAATATGCTGAAGTCCGGCAAATCTAAATCTCTCCGGTCAAAATGTCCGGTCAAAATAATTTTCCCTTAGCGCAATACCGCATCAGTTGCGCCACTTATGTGACAGACAAGAATAGTATGTGACAGACAAAAGAGTATGTGACAGACAAAAATTGTCAATTCTAATGTCTAACACTTAATGTGGAGAAAGAGATGTCCTGTATGGGTTGATTGTGCGTTGATCTGTTGGTAATGCCTCGGGGTTCCGGTGGGCATGTAAACAAATGCATAATGCTGCGCTATACTTTGTGGCCTCATCCGGTTGCATAGCGACGCTTATTGTTTAGGTGTCTTTTAACAAGCAGGTAGTCATATCATTAGCTAGAACTAGCTAGATCTGATCGATATGGACATAAATGCGAGTAAAGTCTAATCTGACAGGAGAGAGAGATCGGCTGCTGCTGACGAGTCGACACGCAGCTCTGCATGATCCCCTGCAGCGGCGAGCAGAGCAAAACACACTTCAGGTTAGAAAATCACACGTAGCTATTTTAATTACCTCTCAAACTACCTAAACTAGTTATAGATATGTTTAGTTTTACTGTCGGGTCACTCATTACTGGATCCGCGAGCTGCATGATACTGACGGGCTGTCAGGAGAAGGAGAGAGCGCTCCGTTTATTATTCCCGCGTTTTTGTAAATTACTGTACACTTTTGAATAATGTAGTTAATCTACTATAATTAGTTTGTTTAATGTCGAATCATATCAATTTGTTTTAAAGCTCAATAAATAACAAAGAAGACCTTTAACCGGCACTTATCTAATTTTGTCCGGAAGATTTCAACTTTAACGGACATGTTGACCGGCAAAAAAATATTCTAACGGGAACTCTGACACACACACACACACACACACACACACACACACACACACACACA